AGACCATATAAGGCCTTAAAGGTTAGTGCCAGCACCTTGAAAGTGATCCAGTACTCAATCGGAAGCCACTGCAGCTGTTGTAGAATTGGGGTAATACTACACCTCGCCGGCACCCCGGCAAGAAGACAAGCCGCCGCATTTTGCATCAGCTTCAGTTTCCGGATCACTGACAAAGGAAGGCCAATGTAGAGGGCGTTACAGTAGTCAAGCCTCGAGATGACCGTCGCCTGGATCACCGTAGCCAGGTCATTCCTAGATAGGAAGGGAGCCAGTCGCCTAGCCTGACGTAGGTGGAAAAACGCAGATCTGCTCACAGCAGATACCTGGTTATGAGCAGAGGGTTCAATAAGACACCAAGACTTTTTACAGAAGATGACGGACGTAGTGTCTCGCCATCCAGGGTAGGCAGCTGGATCTCCCTCCCACCCGGACAGCCTAGCCAAAGGATCTCCGTCTTATCTGGATTCACCCTCAACCTGCTGGAACGCAACCATCCAGTAACGGCCTCAAGGCACTGATGGAAATTTTCGGGTACGGAGTCCAGCCGGCCCTCCATCCTCAGAATGAGCTGAGTGTCATCAGCGTACTGGTGGCACTCAAGCCCAAAACTCCGCACCAGTTGGGCAAGCGGTCGCATATAGATGTTAAATAATAGAGAAGAGAGAATAGCTCCCTGCGGGACACCGCAAGTTAGCGGAGATCTCTCAGATTCCATCCCTCCCCTCACCACATGCTGTCCCCGATTCTGGAGGAAGGAGGACACCCATTTAAGGGTTATCCCCCTAACCCCAGTCATGGCTAGGCGGTGGGTCAAAAGATTGTGATCGACCATATCAAATGCTGCTGTGAGGTCCAATAACACAAGCAGCGCTGATCCGCCTTGATCCATCTGGCAGCGAAGCTGATCTGTGATGGCAACTAGCACAGTCTCCGTCCCGTGCCCCCTACGGAAGCCGGACTGGAAGGGATCAAGTCTGGCTGTGTCATTTAGGAACTGCTGCAACTGTTCCGCTGCTGCCCTCTCAACCACCTTGCCCAGAAATGGAAGGTTCGAGACTGGGCGGTAGCTAGAGGGAACCGAATGATCTAAGTCTGGTTTTTTCAGCAGCGGAGATACCATCGCCTCTTTTAAACTGAAGGAAGAACTAATTTTGGTCTCATGTATGAAAACAATCTGTCACATAAGAAAAATCAGAGTGAACAATCCTTGCAATGCAAGTAAAGACACATGGAATAACTTACTATGACATTTTCTTTTTGTCTTCGCACCTTTTCCATCACTGCTTTTTGCCTCAGGACAATTTTCACACTCTACTTGGCCATACTTTTCATTATATGACCCAACAGGACATAATATGCAAACGGTATCCTGTTTTGCACTGAATCTACCTGGTGGGCATGTTACTATTCAAAAAGAGTAAAAAACAGAGTTAAGAATCATCACAGCTCACTTTCACTGCTACTATTAGCCTACTTTTGATCCCTATTTATATTCAGAAACACACATACACACACAAAAAAAAAGAATAGACAACACCCCTGGGAGCCAATGTAAACCATTTCAAGACATGGAATGAAGGCAAAAACATTAATGGGATTGTGGTTCCCCTAAATTAGAGGTGGATAGAATTACTTGCATTACATATTACAAACATATTTATTACAAGTTTTCTTATATCATCTTCGACCACTTGTATGGGAAATACATATAATTTTCCCCAGATCACAGAACTACTCCAGCTTATTAAAAGTAGTAGTATCCCAAACTGAAATTCCAGAGACCTATGCCACGAGAGGCAAATCCTTATACAGAACATGTTCCTCAAAAACTATCTCCTGAGGAGTGCATATGTAAATGGAATGGTTGAATGATGTGATTGGACAATGTTTTTAACAGGAGACTCTAATGTTTATGTTTTTATTGGTTTTGTTATGGTTTTATTATCTGATTGTTTTTATTCTATTGAAATTGTATTTTATGGTCTTGGCACCAATTGTAAACCGCCCCGAGTTGCCTGCGGGCTGAGAGGGACGGTGTGTGTGTATATATATATTCTTTGTGGTCTCTGTGAATGCATACATGTGGAGTATCTGTGCCTGCACAGGCCCCAACGGAAACGTCTCTAGTTTAAATTTTTGAAGTTTTGGTGGTAACCCTGCCCAGTCCCCGGCAGGGCATAAAAGTTCCTGTTTTTCCGCCGCAAGGCTTACTTCAGAACTTCTGTGATGTCCACAACTAGATTCAAGCACTGCACACAGTGTTCTAGGGAGATTCCAGATTCAGATAAGCACTCTTTGTGCCTTCTTTGCCTCGGTGAGGCCATATCGCCGACTCCTGTCATCATTGCCAAGCCTTGATGGCACAATCTCGGAAGAACCGAGTTCATCGTCTGCGGTACCTGCTGTACCAGCAGTCTCTGGCACCAGCACCCTCGACATTGACGGCTCGACCATCGACATCGGCATCAACAGCTCAACCGTCAACCTCAACAGCGGCATCGACCTCCCAACCGGCTGATCCGCCCTCACAGCCTGCAACTCGCCGAACAAATGCGACTAAGGCGGCACAAAAGAGACTTTGGGTTACCATGTCGACGACGTCGAAGACCTCGAAGCCGTCAAAACAAACCAAGAGGCCCTGTACGGTGACTACTGAAACCATACGCATGCGCCACTCTTCAACTAGCTCTGTGGCTTCAGTGAGGTCAGCCCGGACCACGGGTTCGGCAGCTACAACTCCGCCATCGTCAACGGCAGTATGCATTGCCTTTCGTCAGGCCCAGGAGGAATCTCGTCGTGCTGCGACCTCATCTTCGGTCCCTCCCACGCCGGGCAAGTCGCTCTCGAAGTCGACATTGACTCAACCCCTGGCAAAGAAGAAAAAGACGATGCCTCCACCCACTTTGTCATCGTCTTCTTCCCGAAGAGCAACAACAGCCTCATTGGCTACCTTGTAAGCGAGGTCTTCGCCGATCCAGTCGACCTCCGCCTTTCTCGCTGCCTTGCGGCATAGGAACTGCTGAGTGTGCGCACGGGGCGCCTTTTATGCCCTGCCGGGGACTGGGCGGGGTTACTGCCAAAACTTGAAAAGTTTAAACTAGAGAAGTTTCCGTTGGGGGGCTGCGCAGGCGCAGACACTCCACATGTGTGAATTCACAGAGCACCACTCGAAGAAAGATGGTCACAGGTATGTAACCTACCAATATAAAGATGGCATCGGGCGAAGATGTGCACAGCAGGCAGATGGCAAACTTGTTCATTAAGAGAAAGTTCTTGCATTCTGAATGATGTGGGCTCAAATATTCGGATAGGGTGGATGACTGTTTCCCAAGAGCCTTGAAAATACTAATATAATCCCACAGGAAACTCAAAAGTTGTTGATTTGGGCATTATCATCGTCATCATCCTGCTTTTTCTCTCTTAAGAGATACTCAAAGAAGCAAACAACATTAGAAAAAACGAATACAACTTAAAACCTAAATCAACCAACAACCAACTGGGATCCAATTGCCAAACTGTCTTATTTTCTTTCTGTGGAGAATCTACACTTAGTCTGCTGCATAGCCAAAATCATTAAAAAAGCCATCCACCTGAAAGATCTCTTTATCTCACAACATGGGGTCCCTTGATATGGTGATGAACTTATCTAAAGTTTCCGACTAATTATTTTACGCTCATCACTCTACTCCCTCTGCTTGTTTCTTGTAATCAAATCCCATTTACCAAACTTATTATTTAATCAAGTTTTATTGTATTTTAATTTATTTTAGTTAACTATTACAGGAATTTTAGTACAGTGATTAATGTCTATTTGTCTGTGTATTTTTGCTTTTGTCTTTTATTGTTGATATGGTCAGTGGACTATAAACAGTTCAATAAACAGATCTATCTACCTAAAACCTAAATCATAACAATAGTAAAATAGAATTAAATAAGAACCGATTAAAAATAAATAGCTAAAATAATTGGACATCAAGAGCTGTCAAAACTACAAAACCTGCTCACCATTTAGTATTATCAGCCATAGTCAAAGATAAGAACATGGCCATATAGCCCGAAAAAACCCACAAGAACTCAAAGATAAGTCGTTTCTACAAATACGAGGGGTATTTTTAAGTAAGGTCCATTTGAACATAAGTACACAACGAAAGTTTATTTCAAAAAAGTAAATTTATTTTCAGAAAGTACATACTTCACTCTATTTTTCGACATAGTTGCCAAGTTTGTTCAAACACTTATCATACCTCTGAAACAATTTTAAAATACCCTCTTCATAAAAACTTGCCGCCTGCTGAAGCCACCAAATTGTCTGTAATCAAAGAAGGGCGACCGGAGCGGTCCTCATCATGGACGTTGTCACGGCCATCTTTGAATTGTCGTACCCACTTACGCACTTTGCTTTCACTCATAACAGTATCACCGTACACTTCACAAATCTGTCGATGAATTTCTGCAGCAGGCAGGTTCCTTGCTGACAAAAACCGTATCACTGAGCGAACCTCACATGCGGAGGGTGAGTTGATAGTCTTAAACATTTTTAAAGCACAGAACAGAACCATACAGGTAAGCTACAGAGCGGAAACTGAGCACAGTTGTTCCCGAGGCATGCGCTCATTGTGGTATGCGCGCGAACTACTAGTGTCTACAACAAAACGGACCTTACTTAAAAAATACCCCGTAGTTTGTAATCTGTAATCATAGTAAAACAGTGAAGCACTAAGGATTTGGCAGAGATATAGTGGTCCAATGTGCTTTTTATTCAGAGCACAGAGGCAGAGAAGAAAAGAGCAGCAGAGGAGCACAATGGAAGGATGCATGTAGCACATAGCTGCTTGTGACTGCATATAAGAGGGGAACCTCAGTGCCAATGTTTTTGGGGACCCCTCACAGTTTTGACTTATGACTTTGTAAATGTCTTTAACTGCATTTGTTTAAAATTTGTATAAGCCAAATAGAGACCCAGTTTTAGGGGAAAGACTGGATATAAATCAAATACAGCAGCAGCAGCAAAAAGAAGAAGAGGAAGAGGAGAAGGAAGAGGACAAGGAGGAGGAGGAGGAGGGCGGCAGTGGTGGCAGCAGCAACCCTCAAAAACTATTTTATTTTCTTTTTTTAAAAAAATATATTTTTATTGAGAATATAAACCGCTCCTAGGGCATAGGAGCTTAAAGAGAATGACAAAGAAAGCTGATACACGTCTTCACTTTTTCCATTGTTTTACATAAAAAGAGTGGGAACAATCCAAAAAGGAAAGTTAAAAAGGAAGGAAAAAAGGAGGGTACAACAAAAGAAAAAGAAAAAAGAGAAAGAAAAATTACAAATAAAAATAAAGAATTAAAAATGAACAGATTGGAATATGAGTAAACTTCCAGGTCTCCCCAAGTTGAAGATCTTATCATTTACTAAAAATCTAGTTATTTTACTTTATTTTACTTTTCATCTCCGGTTTCTTATTAATGCTTCCTTTGAGATTCTTTTATAATTCACTAATATAGATCTCTTTATTTTCTTTTTTAATAAAATCCAAAAATTTTGTCCAGTCCGTTTTTTGGTAAACCCCTCATTATTTAGTGTGATTCTTTGAGTAAGTCTATCCATGTTCAAAATATCTAGAACTTTCAAGGTCCATTGATCTATTGTGGATATTTCTTTTGTCTTCCATACTCTAGCTAAAATAATCCTTGCCGCAGTTGTCATATAGAAGAAAAGCTTATCTGTGTTCTTATCCATTTTGAAGTCCGTGATTCCTAATAGGAAAGTCTCAGGTTTTAAGTCAATTTTTATTTGTAAGATTGTCTCTATTTGTTTCCCTATTTGGTGCCAATTTTTTTTAAATTTTTCTGCATTTCCACCACATGTGGATAAAGTTACCTGTATTTTTCTCACATTTCCAACATTTTTCTTTAATTTTTTCCCTTACTGATTTTTACCAATACTTCTGGTGTTAGGTACCATCTGTAAAATAATGTATACCAATTCTCCTTCAATTCTACTGCGTAAGTATATTTTAGTTTCTTAAGCTGTATTCCTTCCCACTCTGCCATGGATATTGATCGATTTATGTCTCTAGACCACTTTACCATATTTTCCTTTACCTGTTCCGTTTCGGTATGCCATATTAGTAATTGTCTATAAATTCTGCTTATTAATTTTGTATCTATCTTTATTATCTTATCCTAGAATCTTTCTTATCCCAGAACTATTTTATTTTCAACTGATTTTCAATTTTAAATAATTTGGAAAAAGAAAGAAAAAATATGTACACTTAAACAGCAGTTCCCTGTATTTACAAAAATGGATCTCTTAAGCATTTATCTAATGCACAATTACTGAAAACTTACTACAACATCCTGGGCACATTGAATTATTCTTCCTAGAATTTATATTTTTTCCAAACCCTGGTTTGCAGTGGTCTACTTTAACAGCAGCAAGAGTCCCAGGAATCAAATATAATTCATCAATGTGAGGGGAGTCCGTTTTCTGTAGTTCGAAGAACTCCTTGATATTTTCATATGCCTAGAAGCATAACAATAAAGAAAGGTAACGACATTAACATGCTCCTCACCAACCTAGATGAAAGAGAGGGTATGGATATAATGTGTTGCAAAATGCTCTTTCATGGCTCCATGATGGTTCATCGCATAATGAATAACAACTTCAATGTGGGATTCAGGTTCTTAGTCACAATCGGGCAAACAAATGAAAGGACTGGAACAGGAATGGGCACCTGGGTTCTCCAAAGTTGTTGGACCACAGTTCTCATCAGCCCTGGCCAGTACAGCTAATAGAACAGCTGTTCTCAACCTGGGGGTCGCGACCACCAGGGGGGTCGCTGGGCCATTTTCTGGGAGTCGTGAAGGTGCCTCGGTTGGCCCCGCCCTCTTCGCAAAATGGCTGCCAGTCCATGCCAGGGAAACAGCCAGGCTTTCCAGGTCAGCTCCTCCACCTTGCGCGATGCCTCCCTCGCCTGCATTTCTCTCCTACTGGCAGGGAGGCCTCGCGCAAGGTGGAGGAGCTGAACCTCATCCAATGACCGATCAAGACCAAACTTGGCACACAGAGCCCGCAAGATCCACTCTACATCCTGGTGCTGTTTGGAGGAGGATGGACCATGGATTATGGGACTTGCAGTACCATCACTCACTTCCTGAGACCACAGCAACATTCATCCAATTACCAATAAAGACCAAACTTGGCACACAGAGCCCCCAAGACCCACTCTGCATCCTACTGCAGTTTGGAGGAGGATGGACCATGGATGATGGGACTTGCAGTCCTATCACTCACTTTCTGAGACCGCTGTGAACCTCATCCAATGACTGTTCAAGACCAAAATTAGCACATAGACCTCTCATGACCCACTTTACGTCCTGGTGTGGTTTGGCCGGAGATGGACCATGGATTATGGGACTTGCAGTACCTTTGCTCAGTTTTCTGAGACCACTGCAAACTTCATCCAATTACCGAAAAAAAACCAAACTTGGCACACCGAGTCTCCATGATGCACTCTACATCCTGGTGCGGTTTGGAGAAGGATGCACCATGGACGATGGGACTTGCAATACCTGCACTCCGTTCCTAAGACCAATACAACTGCCAACAATGATGGATCAGGACCACAATTCACACTGAGAGACTGCATGACCCACTCTACATCCTGGTGCAGTTTCCAGCAGGATGGACCATGGATGATGGGACTTGAAGTACCTCCACTCACTTCCCAAGACTGTTCCAACCCTCATCTAATGACCGATCAAGACCAAAGTTGGCACGCAGAGCCCCCATGACCCACTCTACATCCTGGTGCTGCTTGGAGGAGGATGAACCATGGATGATGGGACTTCCAGTGCCAGGGAAACAGCCAGGCTTTCCAGGTCAGCTCCGCCACCTTGCGCGATGCCTCCCTCGCCTGCATTGCTCTCTCACTGGCAGGCAAGGGAGGCCTCGCACAATGAAAACACATCCTGCATATCACATATTTACATTACGATTCGTAACAGTAGCAAAATTACAGTTATAAAGGAGCAACGAAAATAAATTTATGGTTGGGGATCACCACAACATGAAGAAGCCTATTTAGGGGTCACGGTGTTAGAAAGGTTGAGAACCACTGTAATAGAAGGACACTTTGGGAACCACAGCCCTACATCATATGGGGACCAAAATTGCTGTCTGCAGATCCAGATTATGTGCTTTGAATTGGATTATACTATATAATCCAGTTCACAGTAGATAATCTGGATTCAGAAATTTACGACAGTGTAGATGGAGTCTCAGAAGTAGAGTTTTGATACCAGTATACAAGATACTACCTAAGAATCTAATTTGAATGGTGCTTCCAGCCTACAATGCTGCTTTTTACACTCATTGGTATCCGTTCTAAATTGCTTGAGAAATATTAACTGGAATCAGGCATGTCGCCGGGGGGGGGGGGGGGGGGGGGTGTTGAGGGCCTTCAGCCCCCCCCCCCCCAAATTCTCATGGTGGTTCAGCGAAAAGGCCTTACTGGTACATTATTTAAACTGTTATGTTTATTCATATCATGATCTGATCACCATGCTCAATATATCCCATATGCATGGGGGTATTGGGGTAACGATACAAAAGGTTTGCTAGGGTAGATCCTCTTTCACTCAGACTCAGCCCCCCCCCCCCCGAACACCCAGCCCCCCCCCCAATCAAAATCCTGGCTACGGGCCTGACTGGAATGAATACATCACTTTCAATCTAGACCAGATAGCTGGTAAGGCGAAGATAGCTTGGCCCTATCAGCTATCTCTTTCTCAACAGACTAGGGCTGGGCAACCACGGAAAAATTTGTTTCTAAACTCGATTCGTTTTTTGGGGTTTTTTGCGTTTCGATATTTAAAAGAATTCCGAAATTTTTCTTTAAAAAAGTTCAATATTTACGAAATTTAGTAAATTACGAAACAATTACAAAACGAATAGGAAACGAATACGAATCGATTCGTTAATGGCGGACGCGACCGCGCAATACGCTAAAAAAACCTCCAAATGGGACAGGGGGAACTTCTGAAGCTTCCCTCTCCCTCTGTTGTTGACTGTTGGTGTGATATTTATAATTTTTTTTCACTGATTAAACAAACAACAGCTATAAAACTTGCCCCAGACATGCGGAAATAATAACGAAACGATTTCGAAACGATTTCGAAACGATACGAAACGAATACGAAGCAATTACGAAACAAATTGAAAAATTCGTTTCGTTTTTTAGATGCTCCTGAATGGTTCAAAATCGCTTCGTTATTAAAAAAAACGAATTTTAACGAATTACGAAATTATGAAACGAAACCGCCCAGCCCTACAACAGACAAGTGAGGACAGCACTGTTTTCTGAAAACTAGCTCAAAGTGGTCCAATTAAATCAACATTTTTAATCTTTAGTCGGATATAAATACTTAACAATGAATGGTGTACTTAATGGGTTTTGCATATTCATAAGTTATCACTGTTGATGTTACCATTATCATTATGGACAGCTGATCCAAAATATTACGGCCCTTATTATACTGTATTTTGTCCTCTTGGAATAATGGTTCACCTTTCTGAGGTTGCTTGTAGAATTTTCACATGGAGGACTTCTACAGAGATCTGCTATAGTCAGCATGGAGGGGAATACTGCAGATTAAGAGAAAGCGGGCAAATAGTTTAATACTGTAACTGGATTTTTGTGTGAAAGAGGTGATACATTGCTATCCTGACAGTAACTCCATGTGATAAAATCTATTTTCTTGCAACCTGCAACTATGCCACATGTAAAAATCAGTTTGCAACATTCAGCAGAATTTTTGGAGGGTCTAATTCAAAAACTATGATTTGAAGTCAAGTATATAATTTATATGTCAATCTTTTACTTGATTTGTCAAAGGCTTTCATGGCCGGAATCACTGGGTTGTTGTAGGTTTTTTCGGGCTGTATGGCCATGGTCTAGAGGCATTCTCTCCTGACGTTTCGCCTACATCTATGGCAAGCATCCTCAGAGGTAGTGAGGTCTGTTGGAACTAGGAAAAAGGGTTTATATATCTGTGGAATGACCAGGGTGAGACAAAGGACCCTTGTCTGCTGGAGCTAGGTGTGAATGTTTCAACTGACCACCTTGATTAGCATACAATGGGCTGACTATGCCTGGAGAAAACTTTTGTTGAGAGTTAATTAGATGCCCCTGCCTGCTTCCTCTCTGTTGTTGTGCTGTTGCAATTTTAGAATTTTTAAATACTGGTAGCCAGATTTTGTTCATTTTCATGGTTTCCCCCTTTCTGTTGAAATTGTTTACATGCTTGTGTATTTCAATGGCTTCTCTGTGTAGTCTGACATGGTGGTTATGAGAGTAGTCCAGCATTTCTGTGTTCTCAAATAATATGTTTGTCCAGGTTGGTTCATCAGGTGCTCTGCTATGGCTGACTTCTCTGGTTGAAGTAGTCTGCAGTGCCTTTCATGTTCCTTGATTCGTGTTTGGGCAATGCTGCGTTTGGTGGTCCCTATGTAGACTTGTCCACAGCTGCATGGTACACGTAGACTCCTGCAGAAGTGAGAGGATCCCTCTTGTCCTTTGCTGAACGTAGCATTTGTTGGATTTTCTTGGTGGGTCTGTAGATAGTTTGTACGTTGTGTTTCCTCATCAGCTTCCCTATGCGGTCAGTGGTTCCCTTGATGTATGGCAAGAACACTTTTCCTCTGGGTGGATCTTCATCTTTATTCTCGTGGCTTGTTCTTGGTCTTGCAGCTCTTCTGATGTCTGAGGTGGAATATCCATTGAAAAAAAGAATCTGCGAACCCCACCTCCTTCAAGATGAACTGAACCACCTCAACTGGGCTCTACAGGCCAATGGATACTCCACCTCAGACATCAGAAGAGCTGCAAGACTCTAAAATTGCAACAGCACAACAACAGAGAGGAAGCAGGCAGGGACATCTAATTACCTCTCAACAAAAGTTTGCTCCAGGCACAGTCAGCCCATTGTATGCTAATCAAGGTGGTCAGTTGAAACATTCACACCTAGCTCCAGCAGACAAGAGTCCTTTGTCTCACCCTGGTCATTCCACAGATATATAAACCCTCTTTCCTAGTTCCAACAGACCTCACTACCTCTGAGGATGCTTGCCATAGATGCAGGCAAAACGTCAGGAGAGAATGCCTCTAGACCATGGCCCAAAAAACCTACAACAACCCAATCTTTTACTTGTTTTTTGAGCATTTTACAGCCCAGGGTGTCTATAAATGTGGCTCAACACAAAATCATAAACTTACTGACAACATTTTTTAGCAATTTTTTGTAACTAAATTGCATGGTTGTGGTATAATTAGAATCTATCCTTCACCATTAAGCAGTAAAAATACACGAGCACCTTTTGACTCTGGAAGTCTGTCAATTTGACTGGTTCTGTGTTGAAATGACGTTGACCCATACTGTTCTATGTTATGGTCTAGAGTTTTAATTAGCATACCTAATATAGGTAAAGTGAATGCATGTGTTGTCATGAATTCAAAAATAACAATAAACATAGAAGTGGTGAGCAAAGTTGTCATCTTACCTATGATTGTTTTATTGCTCGGGATGTATTTTTTTTAATTTAATGTATGTCTAATTGTAGTGTATAATTGTAACTGTTTGTACTGGCATTGAATTTTTGCCATTACTTATGTGTAATCCGCTTTGAGTCCCCCTCGGGGTGAGAAAAGCGGTATACAAATACTGTAAATGTAAATAAATTACCTCCAAACTGAAGAGTAAGCTTATATGTCATCTTTTCCACTGCGTCTGTAGAAGTGTGGCATTCTGTACTCCATTCTTTGATCTCACAACTCAGGTTGGAAATTAAACTCTCCATTTTCTCTAAGAGATGTTTTTCATATGAATCAATTTTATTGGTCTTGCAGCTTTCAGCTGTGAATTCAGATGACAGATGTATGCTCTTATCTGGTATATGATACACTATTTATAATGAAAGAGAAAAAACATCATGACATTGCATATGAATTATTCAGATTATCCCCTGATCTATTTCTATCAAACATAAAACATATGTAATTTAATCTACATGTTATTTGATGAATATATCAATGCTTGCAGATTTATGCGGGAATTCATCATCATCATCATCATCATCATCATCATTTAATTACTTATTAATCGCCCTCCATCCAAGATACTCTAGGCGATTTACAAGCTAAAATTGTAAAGGATAAAAATACATACATACAGATATTGATAAAATTAACATAGATCGAATGCTCTAGTAAAAAGCCAGGTCTTAAGTGCTAGAGTAAAAGGCCCTAAGTCACGCATGGCTCTCATATAGGGTGGCAAGGAATTCCACAAGGCAGGGGCAGAAATAGAAAAAGCTCTGTGTCTGGTCCTTTCCAAGTGCACTTCTCTAGGACCCGGTATATAAAGTAAGTCACGTTGGGATGGTTGTTGCGACCTCCGATGATGGGAGAAAGAGAGACGGTCCCTAAGATACGATGGACCTTGGCCAGCACTGGTGTTATATGGCATTTCATGGGTGTTCTTGTGAGTAGCCTGGCTGCTGCATTCTGAACAATACAGAGCTTTTGGGTCGTAGACATCGGAAGGCCAACATACAGGGCGTTGCAATAGTCCAGCCTAGATGTGACCGTGGCATGGATGACTGTTGCCAGAGCCTCATCAGATAGGTAGGGTGCCAATTGCCTCGCTTGTCGTAGATGGAAAAAGGCCTGTTTGCTGGCAGCAGCGACCTGAGCTTCCATTGTCAGCTGCAAATCCAAAACAACACCCAAGCTCTTAACGGTAGGCGAAGGAGATAGGGCAGCACCATCGAAGGTGGGTAGCAAGTGAGTCAGACCAATCGAGCGGCCATGCCAGAGAATCTCAGTCTTCACCGGGTTCACCTTCAGTCTACTAGCACGTAGCCAGTTCGACAGAGCCTCCAGACATAAGGTGAAATTGTCTGGTATTGACGTTGCTCCAGGCTCCAAACGCAGAAGGAGTTGGGTGTCGTCCGCATATTGATAGCAGTCTAGGCCGAAACTCCGAGCCAAACTAGCAAGGGGTCTAACATAGATGTTGAAGAGAAGAGGGGAGAGAATTGCACCTTGGGGTACCCCACATAGGAGGGGAGATCTTTCAGAGACTTGATCCATATACTCCACACATTGGCTCCGGTTTCGGAGGAATGAGTCGAACCAATTGAGGGCCTGACCGTGAACTCCGGACATGGCAAGATGGTGAATCATTAGATCGTAGTCAACGGTGTCAAGCGCTGCGGTAAGGTCAAGAAGTACCAGTAGTGCTGATCTGCCGCTATCAGACTGGCGACGAAGTTCATCTGTAATGGCAACCAGGACTGTCTCCGTCCCATGCCAGGGCGGAAACCTGACTGGAAAGGGTCCAGGCCGGCTGTGTCATCCAAAAATTGTTGCAATTGTCCTAGTACAGCCCGCTCTATCATCTTACCCAAGAATGGAAGGTTAGAGACAGGACGATAATTGGCAAGGGTCATGGGATCCAAGCTAGGCTTCTTTAGCAAGGGACGAACCCTTGCCTCTTTTAACTCTCTTCTAGTCTATTCCGGCGGGAATGAAGTCCCTTATTGCTATCAATATATATTTTCAAGAACATGAATGAGTTTGAATACCGTGAAAGCCATCTACTGCATGGCTATCAGCCTCCTCCCAGTAGACTCAAATAAAGGAAAAGCTTTATGAGAACTACCACTCCTCTTAACATTCCCCCAGCAACAGCAAGGGTATCCCTCTGGGCAGCTAAATCAGGAAATCCCAACAGGATGCCCCCCCCCAAGGGTCTGCCTCCAGGGGAAAACCAAGAATGGGCAACTTGGACATCCCTGAACAGACTCAAAAGTGGAGTGGACAGATCAAAAGACAACCTGGCAAAAAGGCACTACCTAAAAGAATGCTCCACCTTGTGCGTGCAGAACAGAACACTCCGCATCTGTATGCTTGTCCTTAATGTCCTGCCTACTGAACAGAGAAATTGTTTGAGGCTACAGACAATGTGCTTGCTGTTGCCCATTTTTGGTCAAAAGATATTTAGCCACTTGTCCTCCTATTTTTATCAGTTTTAAACTAATTTGTTGTTTATTCATTCACTTGCTTCTGACTCTTCGTGACCTCATGGACCAGCCACACCAGAGCTCCCTGTGTGGCCACCCCCAGCTCCTTCAAGTCAAGCCAGTCACTTCAAGGATACATCCATCCATCTTGCCCTTGGTTGGCCTTCTTTCCTTTTTCCTTCCTTTCCCCCAGCATCATTGTTTTCTTCTCCAAGCTTTCCTGTCTTCTCATGATGTGGCCAAAGTACTGTATCTTTGCCTCTAATATCCTTTCCTCCAGTGACCAGTCGGGCATTATTTTTTGGGTTGTAAAGCCATCTTACAGAAGACCTCACAACCTCTGAGGATGCTTGACGTAGATGCAGGCGAAACGTCAGGAGCGAATGCTTCTAGAACATGGGCATAGCCATATAGCCCAAAAAAACTACAACAACGAAGTAGAAAATACTCACTAAGCATGTAGGGCATTCCTTTTCAGAACTGTTGCTTTCTTATAACAACACTCTCCCCGTTTTAATTTCGACTTTTTATTTTTCTTCCCAAAAAATGC